CTACAAACAAATATTATATTTTTAATTGTGTTGGATTGTCACCTGTGGACATTTTAAACTGTTTCACATATTCGTGCAGAGGCATAGCCTCTAAAGAAAGGTTGTCTCTGCAATGGAAATAGTTGTTCCTGGTGATTAGACATGGCAAGTAAACTTGGACTTGTATCCAGATGAATTTTATGTTTTATTAAAATGTAATTCTGCCAGCCCATTTCTACATACAAAGAAAGGTGATGTTAACATTCTTCTTTGACAGCAAAGGCTCATTGCTAATGGAGATTACTACCTGTGGAACCCTATAAATGCTGCTCAGTACAAGAAAACTAAAAAACTAAAATCTCTGCAAACTTCCATCAAGTCCAAGCAGCCTGGTCAGCTTTCACAAGGTGTCATCCTCCTTCATGACAACACCTGCCCTCACATCGCATGCATCGTGCTTGAATCCCTTGTGAAATTCAAGTGGAAAATACTCCAGCATCCTGCATACAGTCCTGACTTGTCTCTGTGCAATTTCCACGTTTTTGGGGAGATTAAGAGATACCTGGAAGGGTGTAAATTTCAATATGACAGAGGCAGAAGACGCAGTTCAGGAACAGTGCAGACATCAACCCATTGAGTTCTACAAGCAAGGAATTGAACATCTGATGTTACAGTGGGACAAGTGCCTTACTCATCAGGGAGATTACTTTTAATGTAATGTAACTACTAAATAAAGTCATTGGTCGAATTTTATTTGAATGACTCATAATTAACTGTAAAAGTAAAAGATATGAATTATCACTAACAAGAGGTCACTGGTATCAACGTTACTAAAATAATGTCATTACAAGTCTTGTTACTGATCATTTCTTTAGAATCTGATATCATATTTGCCAATCTTAAATTATAAATTAGACTGACTTGATAGCTTGGAAACTGATTTTGGGATGCAAAGGTTTAGAAATAAAAACACAAGTTCTAGAAAGATCATGAAACTTATGAAACTTTTAAGTATTGATTAAATCTTTACTGCCTTTATCACAATAATAAGTTTATAATATTGGCTTTTCCTACTAGACAGATTACTTATTAGTAAAAAGTTGACTGCAGAATAATGGCATATTGTACTATATGTAATAGGTTAATTGTCTATAGAAAAAAAATTACAAAAATTAATAATTCCTTATTACCAGTAGTCTAAAAAATGTAATTTTAGCATGAGAATTACATTTACAAAAACTTTCAAATTAGTTTTTTTGATACCAAAGAATGGAAGATCTCTTATATCTATCACATTTTGCAACAAAATTTTGTAAACTGGCAAATTTCTAGCAAAAAATTCATTTTTTGTAATTTAATCAAAAATTTAAACCTTCTGTTGAAATTCTTGTATGTATAACAACATTGAACTTAAGAAAACTTTAGTGTTGGAGAGTGGGCAATTTCTACAAGAATTGACATACAAACAAACTTGAGATTTTTAGTACTGGTCATAATAAATCCACATTTGTGAATACAATACATTAAAGGCGTTATGTTATCTCAAAAAGATGGAGATTTTGTAGCTCAGAGAGAGGCTGACAGGCTGATAACTACCTCAAAACAGATTCTCAGTCCAAAAAATGGAAGGTTGGCAACTATGTAATATGCTTCTATTTTTACTATAAATAAGTACCATATTGTTGCAAAAAATAAAAACACTGAAGTAAAAAGTTATTGTGAAACAGTATCAATTATGTAAGTATTTGCTGTAAAGTTCAGCAATAATATTAATAGAGAAATTGCGGCCAACGTTTTCATTGTAAAAACATGTACGTCAGACATTCAGCGCCACCTTCCTGTAAGCCTAGAAGTTTGAAAATAGTGTTTGGAATGTCAGTGGAATCATGTTCAATGTTCCAAATGCTATTGTCAAACTTCTAGGCTTACAGGAAGGTGGCACTGAATGTCTGACATACACATTTTTGCAATGAAAATGTCAGCTGCAACCTCTCTAATATTTTACAAATTTGAATTTCACTAAGAACTATGATTCTTCTTTTGTAATTTGTTTCGCTATTCACTTGGTGACCAAGCAAATAAATGATGATGATGAATAATTTACTAAGTTCCCTTAAACTTTCAAAATCAAGATTATCCTAAGATGTATTTAAACAAATATTTTTTATTGAAAGTCTGACTCTTGCATTTTTAAAATTTGTCTTATTCCAAAAACAAAATGCTGTAAACCGTTAAACAATAAGTCGCAGCTTTGTTCTTTTTAAATTGTAAAATTCAAATATTGTCTGAAGATCAAAATAAGATTCACCAATCTTATGTAGGTCTTTCAGTGAGAAATCCATTACTAATATTTTCAGCCATCATGTAAGAGTTCAGGTAGATTTTTTCAAAATCAAACCTTTTTGGTACTAGCACTTTAGATTAGACTATGTATTAAAATCTCTGATGTATTCAAATTCAAATGTTTTTCTCTTGAAATTTTTTCTAAATGTACAAAGGGGTGTGTCTATTTACCATCTGTGCATTGCCTTTAACAATGATGAGTTGAATATGGCCTGGCATGCACTTGAGATCTGTTTTTCTTCTTTAAAATTGATGGATAGGCCCTGGAGGTCTGCCTTTAATATTTATAGCACTTTTAAATTTCTGAGCTTAGTATGGTATGTTTTCTATATTAGGGCAGCTTGTTTAATTTCTGGTTTAATCTCATTATCAGTCACATAAAGCCACGGCAGTGGCTTTCCTCTTCTTTTCTATATCAGTCTTATGTTCCAGAAGTGTGCTTCTTCAAAAATCTCTTTGTAGACTCAATTTATAAGGGCTAGTACGCGTTGGGCGTTGCGTTAAATGCATGTTAGCAGTGTACACACCGCACATTTAACTCAGCGTTCAATGACCGTTCACACTGGCTCAGTTTGGAAATGGACATGAAAGTAATTGCTTGTGTGTGGCTCCTCTATTGTCGCTATAAAAGACAATGGCAGAGGCAAAGAGAATTTTGGGGCACCCAATATTACGAGATAGACTGATGCATGAAATGTTTGTGACGTTGTATCCAAAACTAAGACAATATGAACCCAAGTTTTTTAATTATTTTAGAATGTCTATAAAATCATTTGACAATGGCTGGTCTCTTTTGGATTTCATCAATAAATAGATCAGTATTGAAATGATTGTTCTCCATCTCGGCCAATGTGCATCCACTCTACCTGAAAACATACGATCTAATGTACAACAAAATGGCAGCACATTTATCTCAAAGCGTGCAGCTGATGCCCGTGAAACACATGTTCTAACCTAAATCTATCAACACACGTTTGGCATGCACTTGGCCAGAAGTGCGCATTTGCATGTGTATACCTATGTGGAACTCTTGGTTCTTTAAAACCTGTGTTACCAAAGCGCACACTTCAAAACACCTAATGTGTACTAGCCCTAAGAGGTCTCTACAAAATTTGTTATCCTTAAGTGGAATTTTATAGATTCCCAGTGCTCTTTCAACGTCTGTTTGGTCTTTCAAGCAGCTGTTCACCAGCTGCTTAGACTTGAAATACATTCAAAAACAACAATTCAGTGATTCATTTTTGCCATGTTCTTTTAAACACATATCATGTATGATAAGTCCTACATTTGTCAAGTTGTGAGATTCAAGAAGTACAGTGGTACCTCAGGATAAGAAATTATTCCATTCTGAAACTGAGATCATATCATGAAAATGTCGTAAGGTGAATCATTTTTTTCCATACAATTACATGTAAAACCAAAAAATTCGTTCAAACACAAAAACACACTCAAATTAAAGCTAAGTAGTACATTAAAAAAATAACTATAGTAAGGAAAACACTGAAAAATGCGTTTTGTAGTTGTAAATGTATAAATAACCGTAATAGAATAATAATTGATAAAAAAAATGAAGTTTTATTTGCACCTTACCTTTGAGGATAGATGACAGTGGAGGTGTAAACTGGTGGTGGAAGATAGGGAGAAGGGAAATGATACTAAAACTTAACTTACATAACATAATGTAAAAATAACTTAAAAATAACTTAGAAAAGAAAAAAAAAATTAGTCTTTATATATATATAAACACTAATTTTATATATATAAAAACACTAAAAATATATATATAAATTTTAATATTATAATTTT